GTAGATCTAGAATCTAGGCCTAGATCTAGTGGACTGGCCGATAAGGTCTGGAGAAAACAAAAATTGGCGGAAAATTGGAAGCACTAAAAATTAGATAGCGTAGTTCTAGATCTAGACACGTCCTTAGCTAGATTCTTGGTCTAACATGGCCTATTTTTAGCCCTCCTGGGAACGAAATAATCTAGATCTAGATCGAGGTCAAGTGCTTTGATTTCATTTTTCTGCTGTTTTTCAGCACAAATCTGCTATTGTACAACATATTATAATGAGATACAACTTTATTGATCATGTAAAGTGCAATGAAGAAGCAGAAATGTACTTAAAGATGCAAATTTCCTTCCAAAATGAGTCGAATCGAGACCAGAGTACCTATTTATTACTTAATGTATTCATGGGTCAAAATGGACACGTGACTCAGCCTTGCTGTGATTGGCTGCAAACCACCCGATCGCACGATTCGCAGGCCAGAAAACAAACGCGTTTGTTTTTGTAGGTCACCGATCGCGTCGATCGGTTTGTGCCACGATCGCCGCTTTGCGCCCTCAATTTGGCTATCCCTGACTACCCGATGGGCCCGACCCGACCCGACCCAATCGCGTATGTGGGCACCCCCTATAAGAAACACGATTCAAGAGACTGGGTAAGTATTTTTCGAGACTCACATGGTGCACATGGAGACGACTTGACAGCCGGGGATGAAATCTTCAAACTTACACTGAAATGTGGGGGCAGGGCGGTGTCACTGTCTAAAAATGAGCAATTTGCAGGCAAGGCTAGCCTACTGTAAGTAATCTATTTGAGTGATCCTGTGTATGCATCCAAAAAGCGGTTTTTAATATAGGCCCCAAAAAGAAAAACTCCTACAAAAATATTTTTGTTTGGTCGCTGGCCTGCAGAAGTGCCATGCAAAGTGTCGTGGGCAATTCTTCAATGAACTAGAATTCTTTTTACGTGGTCAGACGAATGTAAACAAGCTATACCCAGGAAGACCATAAAACACCCAGAAACATTCTTAGCTTCCCAAGAAGTATACAGAGCAAGCAGCCCATTAAGCGCTCAAACACCAACACACTGACAAAATCTGTTGCTGTCAAGAGCAGGATACCCATTCCTGATAGTGTGAAGTGAGGGAAAATTGGTGTAAAGTGCCTTTTCCAAAAACACAACATCGGTTCCCTGGCAGGATTCGAACACACAACCTCACGGATGCAAGTCCGAGAGCCTAACCACTAGGCCATCGATGCCACTGAACATTACATCTGTTAGTGAGGCCGTTGTCGGGAAGAAAGAGAAATCATCATCATCAAAATTTGATGTAAGATCAGCGACAGACATCAGCGATCATGGTTTGCCATTCATTCCTTTGCTCGGATGCTCTAAAAAAAGCGACATTATCCTGACCTTTCCCCGTCACCCGTCTATTTAAGCTCTTCAAGTAGGTTGCTCTGGGTCTGCCCTTGCCTTCACTTTTGCCAGTGAGAGCTGTAAGTTCAAGTCTTTATGTCAAATCAAGTGTCTAAGAAACTGTGAAAATACATTATGAAAAAAATCTTGCTGATTTACAGTTAATTCTAACTTGGAAATAAAGTCAAACGCAGTTATAAAGAGTGTTCATAGCAACACTACATATGAGAAGTTTTTGAAGATTTTCCAAGTGAAGAACATTTGATTCGCGACGAAGAGGAATCAGGCACTGGTCAATATTGGGGAATATGGAGTTATTAGAATTATTTTAAGAAGAGGAATCAGGCACTGGTCAATATTGGGGAATATGGAGTTATTCGAATTATTTTAAAGCTTGTTCATTTGCCATGCTTTTGATTTGTAAAAAAAAAAATACCAGTCTATCTTGAACTTGTGTCGAGATATTTGCGATTGATGGAGGTTGTAAAAAAAAAAATACCAGTCTATCTTGAACTTGTGTCGAGATATTTGCGATTGAAGGAGGTGGTGTCAGAGGTAAACTTAGCGTTTATTTTTTTGGTACCTTTGATCACTGTTTTTCAAAACAATCAATAGAGAAATGTTTTTCAAACGGACATAATAAGTCTTGAGTCAAAAAAACAATTTTTTAATCGATAAAAATTGCCCAAACGGACATAATAAGTCTTGAGTCAAAAAAACAATTTTTTAATCGATAAAAATTGCCCAACATGCAGAAAAATACCAGTTGCCTATGGACCTGCAC